TGCTGTCACTGGTACTTTTATTGCCGGAGGAAGCAACTGTAGAGACGGGTTTGTGTCGACTGAGATCAACGTCAGGCTCATCGAGGCCATCGACTCGGTTTGCGCGAGACCTTGCCAGAAACCAATTTCCTGCTGGTCCATGGGCCCGCACTTTGTGATAATGATCCGCCAGTGTACCTTCCACTTGGAGATCAAATCATGTGTCGTATCCCATATCTCGTGGTAGACATCGTTAAGAGACGTTGAAAGTGGCTTGCCTTTGCGCCCGAGACTGTAAGATGCCGTCATTTGCTGGCATCCCCTGTTGTCGGTCCATGCTGCTGTAATCCACCTCTCGTCAATGCTTTGTGCATAAGCGATGTGCATGCAGGTGTTTTCGTGCATGACCGAAGACGAGGAGGTATTGGAGATCTTGAAATCGATGCCTCGTGGTAGTGACTGCTCCAGCATGATAGCTGGCGAGGGCATCGGCCCGCCAAACAATGTGCATCGATCATACGTCTCTATCGCTAGCTTGATGGCGTCGCTTGGTGTTGGTTCAACGATGCCCACAGGAGAAGTCAGAAAATCTAGAGGAACCAGCTGCAAAACAAGTTCATTGACAGGCGCTTGTCTCCTGTCAGTCAAAGACCTCTTGTGCATCTCGAAGAGCCGTTGGAACGCCGTGCATTCCTCCACGATCGACCCAGGGTGATCCGGAGGGTACACGAAGTACACAACAAAGTTCTTCTCCGTCACGTTTGCTGACAAGAGCCCCTGGTTCAAGGCCTCCATGCGATCATCCAGACTTGACCCAATGTGAGGGCTGACCGTGCCCGGAGAAGTAGCAATCTTGTCCGCTTCGAATGGCATCAGCCCGTCGGTCACCTTTGAGCTCGTAGGCAGGCGCTCGAACGAGCCCAGTTTCAGCAGCTCATAGACATTGCGCATCCGATCTAGGAACGCTGCGGCAACATCTGTCATGCCGTCCCAGTTCGGAAACACGCAGACAACGCTGACATTCTTCGTCCCTTGGGCAGGGCCGAGACCCAAGCTTTCCCAAAATTGAACGCTTGACGGAAGCACCGACAGTCTGGCTTCTGCGCGGCGGAGTTCCATGTGTGGCGCAGGGATTTGGAAAAGGTTGTTGGGCTTGGGCGGCTCAGCATTCGAATCTCTCTGCGGAACTGGCCTTGGGTGCAGTCTGTTAGGCTGCCCTAGCAACGGCACGTCAGGGACCTCCACGACACCTTTGAAGTTGCAGGTGTTGAACTCGCCGAGGCAAGCAGGGACAACTTCTCGCAGAGTCTGTAGAGCGGTGCGACTCAATGATGACAGCTGTCGACGAGTTTCTGATATGATGGCCGTGTTCAGAGTGTTGGCTTGCGAATCGCGGATCTTCAAGTTACCAGTGACCGCTTGCTCAGTCACAATCTGAGCGATTGTCACCATGTCCTCATCTGTTAGTGAAAGATAAATCGGCAGTGCCTCAGCATCCTCAAAGTACTTTGTTATCGACACCTCTGTTGCCTCGACTTTGGCTAGTTTAGGGAGTTCCAGGGCCAAGGTGGGATCAGAGTCTTCGACAGACTCAATGTCCTTCAACGAGGTAACGTGAGAAACCACATCGTCGTCGAAATTCAGTCTTCTAATGCTTGATTTGAACGGAGACGCTGGCTCATCTGTCGTTGAGCTTGCGTCATCCTGGTCAGACACCAAGCTCACATCGTCCGCATCGGATGCGAAGTCATCCATCTTTGCAGGACTCGTGTTCAAGGTTGCGTTTTCAAGACCGCCGGTAATCGTACGGATGACCACACTCGTTTGCTCTGAGTGCTTCAGCTGCTTCCTCTGTTTCCCGTGTCTCCGTAGGTAGTCGGTTGTAGGCGGACCTTGAGAACCAGGCTGCGTGATCGACTCTTGCACCAACCCGCGGGTGACTGGATTGCAGTCAAAACGGCCCCCTTGCTCGTACTTTTTGTTGACAGAGGGAAGCACTGGATCGAAGCCTACGCTGTCAAAGACGCTGCCTTTCCTTGGAGGTGTTCTGCTTGGAGCAGAGTCGATGTCTCCCAAGGATGCCCGGACCCTTTTGTAAACCGTATCGGGGCCAAAAGGGCTCGACTCTCTCTTGGTACCGGCAGCCTTTTCTGTGCTAGGTCTTTGCTTTCCCTCGTCCATGAGTGTGCTCCTGGCATGCTTGAGTTCGGGCTTGGTGAAAATTGGTGGACTCGGCTCGGGCTTTGTATACTCAATCGGGGGAGCAGCCATTTTCGCAGGCTCAGGCAGCGGAGGCGGAAGCACTGGAGGCATCGAAGGTGCATCTGACATGCCCATATCAGGGAGACCCGAGAGATCTAGATCATCGCCGGGTTGCTCATCAAAGAAGCTGAAATCAGCATCCGTTATGTCGGCATCGCCGAACATATCCGGGCCCATGTCTCCAAAGAGGTTGTCGCTCTCGCCCCCCAGGAATGAATCTGCTCTTGGCTTGTTGTCATTCGAGTTCCACCCGCCATCACCGTACGATTCATTATGTTGACTGGTATGCGGCACCGCAGTTTCAGGCATGGTGACATCTGCCATGGCGGTATCGATATCGACGATGGCTACGGTCGCATTCGGAGCCCCTGGGCTGGAGGTGGTGCCGTCTAGCGAGGGCGTGATTCCTAGAGGATTCTGAACTCCGTCAGGAGGGGTCGGATACATTGCACCTACGGCCGCTGCATTGCTCGCGCGCCTTAAACCTAAAGGCGAATGTCCATTGGGTTGCTGTGGTGGGACGGCCGCGGGAGTCTCTTTTGTTGCTGCAGTCTCCCTCTCCTTTTTCCGCTTGGTGACTTTTTCTTCTCTGTCAGTTCCGAGCTGAAACCAGGTTCTAGCTTCGCTTAGAAAGTCTGCAGTCTCCTCGTGGGCCAGCAATGCGGTATCTCCTAGACCATGATTTCGCGCCAGGATCACTGACTTTTTGCGGAAGCAGAGGGCAGCCGGCCATGATATCGTAGCCATTGTTGACGGGAGTGGTGTTGATTTGCCGTCTCCTGATTTTCGGCGGATCATCTGAAGTGCTATCCAGGGGCAAGACTGAAGCAACGTTGGGGACAGCCCACGGGACTGGAGGATCTTGATGCATGTGTCTCTCCATTGTGATGATTTAGCATCCGCGCCCCTCCAGAGTTGAGTATCTGGAGTTTGTCCAAGACCAAGCTCTGGATATGATAAGCCGCCGCCCATGAATCCTTGATAATTTGCTAGAACGCCGAACGGGGCCGCCAAGATCTGAGAGCCCAACACAATCTGCCCCGGACTTGATGGCTCGTTCACTGACAGCAGACCTTCACAACACGACAATGACAAGCTCATAACCAACGCACCCGTAGTCGTCAGATAAATGCGGAAGGTTCCGACGACTGCTGAATCAGAATCGAGAGCCCGGTCGGACTGGTTTTCGCGGGAGACTTTAGCGGGAAAAAGGACCGTTCGGTAGTTGACAGGTATCGCGCAAATGCGGCTACAGAAAGCTGCGGAAACGGTCGACAAGAGAGCCGTAACAAAATGCTCGTATGCGTCCTTCAGAGGCACAGAGCCTGTACCCTTCGCATCGGGTCCTCCGGCTGAGGCGGGCTTTGAATCGGGATCGGAAGAGCTTGGCGGCCCAGAGCCTGCGTTCTGCGAATTCCGAAGTGACATGTCAAGGGCCGAGTTACTTGATGAAGAGCTTGTGGGGGTATTTGCAGCTTGCTGACCCGGTGCGCGTCCTTTGAACAGACTGACCGGTTCGAATGAACCATCCTCGACCATCAACAGCGTCGCACCTTCGACTTCGATAGTGTTGCCCAAAGCCCCATTATTGTCGTCGGTAGCCGTCGCTCCTTTCCCCGGCACATGGAAATACCATAGCACGCGCCTGGTCGCATCATAGTAAACGATGTGGCCGCGGTTCCGTAGTTCGGTCTCGACATCGGCAGCAGCCGAGGGGAAGGTTTGCGCGTGCTCCTGAGAAGGTTCGTAAACTCGGAAAACGATCGAGGAGATGTTATTCTGAAGGAGATAAGTCAGCCACTTAAAATTGTGTAGGAAGTGATGTGACGCACATTTAATAAGGTATTAGTATCGTATTCGCTTGTGTCCATGTCGACGGTCAAGTCTCGCAAATGCGGGATTCGATCCGTGTCGCAACATCAACTCCCTCAGTCGCTAAAGCTCCCGGAGGCTGCAGGAGCCGGTTGAAATCCAAGAAAATGCAGTCATAAAATATCAACGTCTTTCTGGCATCGATTGGAGCGAAATAAGCGATTCAAGGAGCTTTCGGAAGGGTTGTCGGCTGGATTTCGCGAAGTCATCGACTCCATCTCCGTGGGTCGAAAGCGCGACCAAAGTACCGGCTGCTCGGCATCAACCGAGTCCAAGACTGGTCCAGTACCGACAGGAAGTATGCGATAGAAGTTTCCAGGCGGTTGTTATCGAGATGATGGAGCACCGGGAAGCGTCGATGCTCGATCGTCGAGGTCGTCGTTGGGGGGGGAGGTTGTCGGGTCTTTCGCAACGATTACTGCGTGTTCAGCAACCAGGTCTGGCCGGGTCGGGATAGCGGCGGAAATTCAGTTCAGCACGGTCACTGACAAGCAGCAGACTGGAACCTCAGGGAGCAGTTCGTTCGGCTGAACGCCTGTAATAGTGCACTAACAGGGTCCTGTTGGATCGGAAGACGGACGCGGTTTCAGCCAATCACTGCTGCCCACCCGCTAAAAGTCCCTGTCCAGCGGTCGGGATACACGCTAATGCAGCGTCGCCTGATTCGGCGGGGGGCCGGTCGGAAACAGGACTTACTTTTCCACCGCCTCACCGAGCTGGTGGGCCAGGTGTGGCTCCCGCCCACCGACGCACCGGCCACCGCGTTCTTATCTTATCAGAACTTTTTTTTTCTGGCTCCCCTCGGTCGCAGATTTCCTTCGTCCTTCGTCGCATCGTCGCGCAGAAACCGACCGACCAGTGTTTTCCGCCTCCGGCCTACAGTCAAGATGCAATTGACAAACCCCGGCACCGTTCCGGTCTACACCATCTCTGGTGCTTCGACAGCAAGGCCTTTGCCTGACTGGTTGGCCAGGCGCAGAAAGAGATCACTCAAGAACGACCCCGAATACGCAAACCGAGTCGAGCTTCTGCAGGATTTCGAATTCGAGGAGGCGAGCACATGCATCCAGGTCAGCGAGGATGGTGACTGGGCCGTCAGTGCCGGAACCTACAAGCCTCAAATCCACGTCCACAACCTGCCGCAACTGTCTCTCTCGTTCGCGCGTCATACCAACTCTCTCACGGAGAAGTTGGCCATTCTCTCTTCCGACTACTCAAAGACTCTGCTTCTCCAAGATGACCGACGACTCGAGTTCCACACCCCGATGGGCTGCCACTACACGATCAGGATACCTCGGTATGGAAGAGATTTGCTGTACGACAGGCATTCGGCGGAGGCCCTTGTACCGGCCGTCGGAGTTGATTCAGACGGATTGGGAGAGGTGTTCCGGTTGAATCTCGAGATTGGAAGATTCATGAAGTCGTTCCAGATTGATGTTGGTGGGGATGAAGAAGGAGCTGGCTTGCAAGGTGGCATCGAGGCCGGCAGTGTAAACGCTGCTGCTTTGGCCGAGAAGTCACACGGCCTGGCTGCATTTGGAACATCGCTTGGCACTGTTGAATTCTGGGACGCCAGGTCGAAGTCTAGAGTTGCACGTCTTGGTTGCCAAGAGGGAGCGATTACTGCACTTGACTTCAACGCCTCAGGCCTTTCGATTGCCACTGGATCTGCCAACGGCATGGTTCAGCTGTTTGATCTGCGTCGCCCTGTACCTCTTCTCACCAAGGACCAAGGGTACGGCTTCCCGATCAAGAAGTTGATTCACATGACAACTGCGTCTCAGGAGAAGAAGGTTCTGTCCGCCGACAAGAGAATCATCAAGATTTGGGACGAGACGGACGGCACGCCCTGGACATCGGTTGAGCCTATTGTGGACATCAACGACATGTAAGTCTAAGAGGCCGAACGGTGGAATGACTTTGCTAACCATACTGTAGTGCCTGGTGCAAGGACACTGGTATGCTTCTGACTGCCAACGAAGGCAAGCAACAACACTCTTTCTTCGTTCCCAGCCTGGGTCCGGCCCCGAGATGGTGCTCCTTCTTGGACAACATGGTCGAGGAAATGGCCGAGGAGGTCCGCACCGAAACTTATGACAACTACAAGTTCTTGACGCTGCCCGAACTCAAGCAACTCAGCATGGAACACCTTATCGGCAAGACCAATCTTCTCAGGCCATACATGCACGGATACTTTGTGGCCTCCAAGCTTTACGAGCAGGCAAGGCTCATCGCCAACCCCTATGTCTGGGAGGAGGAGAGGACGAAGCGCATCCAAGAGAAGGTCGAGAAGGAGCGTGCCAGCAGAATCAGAGGCAACAAGAAGGTCAAGGTCAACCAGAAGCTTGCCGACAAGCTGCTCAAGAGGCAGGAGAACAGAGAGGTTGTGGACACAAAGGCCGGTGTACTGGGCGACGAGCGTTTCGCCAAGCTCTTCGAGGACGAGGCGTTCGCCGTCGACGAGACCAGTTACGAGTTCCGCGCTCTCAACCCAAGCACCACCGTCGCCGCTCCGGATACTCACGAAGTGGGTGTCAGCTCTGCTGCCAGACCTGCTGAGGCGCCCAAGGTAGGATTGGGCAAGAAGGCTCAATCCCAGGCAGCAGAGATGACGATGAAGGTGTCTTCCTCCAACCAGAAGCATGGAGGAAGAGAAAGGGACACCGCGTTGGGTTCCCGTGTGCAGAAGTCGGGACGCATCGGCAAGATGAACCGTGGAGAGGCTTTCGGCGAGAAGCAAGTCACGTTCGTCCCGGACAAGAAGAAGAAGGGCCGTGGCCCGCCCCAGCAACAAGAGGAGAGCGCACCCAAGGAGAAGAAGAGGTTTGACGCAAGAAGAAGCGCAAGCACGAATACATTCAGAAGGCTATAAGAAACCGCTATGAGTATCCCAGGGTTTAAGTAATGGTACAAGAAAGGGCTTTTCTATCCCTCGAGCAGATCCCGGCTGCCAGATTTCGTCAATCATCCAGTTTCTAAACCCCGCATCAAACGACCCATTACACCGGCACCAAGCCAGTTGGCGGTCTTCGACCCGACATACCATTCCTATCCTTCAGCGTAGGGTTTACTTCCGACCCCATCTCATCAGCTTTCGCTTCTTCTCGGCCTGCGCCAGTCCCTTCTCGAGGTCCTCTGGACGGAGTCTCGGCGTTGGGGGCACATCGTCAAGTCTAGCGCGGCCGCGGTGGCTGCGTGGTGGAGAGTTCGACTCCTTGACTGACTTGGGAAACTCGGTCCTCCGCGGCGTGAGAGCGGTTACCACTTTCCTGGCCGACTTCCGCATAGTCTCCCTAATCTTCCACTCGCGCTTCTTGGCGATGTAAAACAGCACAGCCATTCCGACTGTACAAGTAAAGGCTGGTTAGCAAAATGGTTTCTTAAAGGCGTTGGTTTTTTGTTTTCAAAAAGGGTCCACATACTTCCGAGAGCACCAACGATGGAAACAACCACGATGATGGCAATCATGGCTTGGGATGAAAGCCCGACAGCGCCGGGGCTGTCTCCAGCAGCGCCGGCATCGTTGTCAACGCCGCTTGAGCCGCTCGCATCGCCGGCGGCATCCGGATAATAGGTCTCGGTCGCCAAAGGAAAGTAGTTGGAGGTCGTGGCCGCCATGGTGTTCAACTGCGTACCGCTCTCAGAGAGGGACCAGTGTACAAACTCAAAATGTTGGCGGGAAGAAGAGGCACAGTCAGGCTGGAAAAGGAAAAAACGGCGTCAGAATCGTATGAGTAGAGAGAAAAGCTGAACAAAATCGAAGAGATACCCGGCGCCACGAATGTGGCCCAACTCAGTATTTACATGTTCAACCACCGAGAAAACCCTTTGATGGAGCCCAGCGCCAATGGTTTCCCCCTCTCCTGCAGCCAGCCTACCAGCGTATTCCCCTCAAAGCAATGAATGTGATGAACGAGAATGGCCCCCATGGAAGTGCATGTGCTTTACGACGGCAGTTGAGCGTGACGTGGGGCACGTATGGAAGCAGGAACCGTGTTGAGACACCCTGCTGTTGCCAATGGGACGCCTGGGCCCAAGACGGTCGAAATAGGCTCGCGATGCTCCCATTGGTGTTGAGCGGCCTCGAAGCGCCGGCACACGGCGCTTTCACATCGGAGCCGGGGTGCGGTAGCCAATCAGCGGGCGGGGCCTGGGATTCGGGCGGCACGAATTTCAGGGGGCCAGGGGGGGACCTGAATCAACCCCGGCTTCCTTATTCTCACCACCTGCATAGCTCGCCTGCACGGTTGACGATGGGCACTCATATGCAGCCGGTCACGGCAGTGGCTGCAATATCGACAAGCTTAACTGTGTGATGGGGAGGGGTTGCGCATCTTGTTGACTTGACGAGCATGCGGTGTGATGGGCCGTTGGCTGGTGACTGTGGTTTTCTATCGCGAAGTCTCTGTTGGTTGCTCGCTCAGCGTTGTCTGTGATGGCTTATGCACGCTCTGTCACTATCACGACGACGCCTGCGGGATATCAGGATGACCAGAGCGGAGGAAATCAGCAATGCATGCACTCCACGGCGCATCGTTTGGCCGTCAGATTCGGCCTTCATTCGGCGTCTGGCGATGATGCCCTCAAAGTATCACTTGCCGCCAGTCTCTTTCGCCGTCAAAAAATTCTTGGTATATTTGGCATTCCTTGGCTTCCACGTCGGGATTCTAAAAATGGACCATGGCCTCGGCCGATCACCTCGGCGGACGACCATTCAAGCTGGGGTTTCGGTGCTGGGGCCGTGTCGACCACTCAAGAAACCCTGAATATCGGAGGTGGATCGCCGGGTCGGAGGTCGAGAGGCCTTCTCGTCTGTCTTACCTGCAGTCCTGCCCTCGGACTTTGAGTTACCCGGTGTTGCAGATTTAGGCCAGTCTTGATGGCTGTGGAACGATAATGCTAAGTTCACCACGCACCGAAATGTTATTCCACGATCTTGGGGATGATGCAGGCGGCCTCAGGCAATATAGCATCGATAGTCAAGCAGCATCCGACTAGCAGACGTGCGATTTCTCACAATGCCTCATGAGAAGAAAACCGTGTCTCATTGGTCTCTTCAATTCGAAGGTCATTCGCTGCTGGTGGTTATGGGCCGACTCAGTCCTGGTAACAACAGCCTTTCATGGATGCAGTTTCTTCTACAGCCAGTCACCGAAGACCGCTTTCAGTATTGTCAACTTTTCAATACTGATAAGAAGGAACACTGGTGGCCTGTCATGGTAGATACTCCCTCCGGAAAATGCTTGGATATGTCGGGGAAGGCTATCTAGACGTCGCAGCTAACTCAAAGGAGGCCCGGGTGCGCTTCTGTTCAATAAGGGAATGCTATCAATACCTTGCCTTCTTTTTGCAGTGACCATGGTATTATTGTTTCTGGGAATTGAGGCAAGAACATCGCCACAAGCATCTGTTCAGGAAGTTGCGATGACATTGAGAAGCTGCAGGTGGTGGGCGCGGATCGATGAGGTCCTTCCTACCGGATTGCCATGCCTTCTCTCAAGTACATGCAGGAAGAAAGAACGTCAACGTCTGATCGTGCACTGCAACTTCTCTTTCCACGTTTGGCTACCTATCTGTCATCGTACCTTCCAAATAGTTTCTGGCAGTCGTGACCAAATACCTTACTCATTGAGACATGCCTTCCGGTAGATGGAAAGCATCTTGCCCACACTCAGATCAAGCACGGCGTCCCATCCCTTTACACCTTAAGCCTTTGAGCGACGCTCACTCACTTACTTCCAATCCATCCGAAGCATCGTCATTTGGCGACGTCTCCGATCCTTTTTGTTCCGTTTTGCTTCCCAAACCCCTCGTTCCTGCTCTAAATATCACATGTTTCCTTGGACCACAGCTATAATCGACTTGAACGGGTTCTCTCGGCGGTGCGAGGCTTTCCGCCAACCTCAGCGGCATGAGTGGTCAATCCAGCCCCGATCCCATCTCTGAGGCACCCCAAGACTCCTTTCCTTCGACAATGACAGAGTCTCTTCCCAGAGGATCCAGCTCTAGCCATTCTCTGCTCAGTGACAGTTCCAGCAGAGTCTCGCCATCCACCGACGGACCTCCTTCAGCTCGGCGAAAGAACGATGGCATGCAGCAAAACCTGAACATCATCGGCCATCATGGCAAGAATGGGCAGCACGGCCCCCCGGGTACAAACCGTCACGATGATTCAGGCATGGTACTTGATGCATCAGAAATCGAGGCTACCAATGATGTCGAAGAACTTCCCTTTGCACGGCCGCCGAAGTTCAAGCCCAATCAGTTCTCGGGACCACAGCAAAGACTGCCGATTCATACTGAGGATTTCGAAGATCTGGAAGACCTAGCTAGTCTTCAAGACGAACGTCCTCAGAAGCTGAAGTCCATCTCGCACCAACACCAAGAACTTTCAGGTCGGCGCCATGGTGGTGGCCGCCATCGCAAGGACACGGAACAGTCTGATGGTATGAACACTGGTGTCAATGCCGAGAATAGAAACGGTTCCCCCGTTCATGAGGTCCACTCTGGGAAGACCACGGACGCGGGTAAAGACCACACAAATGTCGAGAGCCAAATGTCAGTCAATTCTTCCAAGGAGGGGGACTTAGTTCCATTGGATGGTCAACCAGCCCAAGTCAAGATAAGATCTCGTCAGCGGCCCACGGTGCTGGAACAAAATCCACCACCTAGTCAAGGTCTGGGCATCCGTCCTTTTCACGATGCGGACAATAGCTTGCCTGGTGGCCTAGGCCGTCAACAGGACCAGGAAACACCCCATGTGGAAGTGGCCGCCACAAGCACACGCCGGAAGCCGGAGAAAGACCGAGAAGTCAGACGGCCTGTCCTTGTTCCGCAGATGGGCCCTCCAGAAGCCGTCAATACCACAACCATCCGCTCGCCCACTGATCAAGGGGCTAATGTAACACCTCCTGAGCGTCAAAACGGTCTGCCTCAAGCGAGTAAACAGCACTTCGAATCGGTAGAGTCCCAGAGGCAGCGCATGAGTACCCCCGTAGGAGATCTGGAAGGCCCTCGGCCCACGCCAAACCGTGCCCATGCAGAAAGGCGCAACGAAACACCCAGAAGCACTCGCATGCCACGCAGTGGACATGTTCAGAGGCGCGAGCATGCATCTCGACGTGATAGAGAGCCAAGACGCGGGGACGTCCACAATTCGGAACAGCAATCCCGACCCCTGAGAGAAGAAGATCTTTGCGTCTCTGCCCCCCGAGTACCATCACGGCAGTCAAATGTGTCCAAAGTTAGGAGGAATCGTACTCAAGACAGGTCACGGAGCAGCCATCGAGAAGTGAATGGTGACCACCTCCGCCCGCGGAGTGGACAACGATCGAAAGACATAAACCTTTCATCAATCTGTGAGATGATATATGGATTGGAAGCAACAGAGGCGGAGTCTCGCAAAACAATTGATGAGCTCTGGCAGCAGAAACAAGACCTGGAGCAGCAAGTATACAGCATGCAACAAGCTCACAGAAGCCTCGTCGACAAATCATTGCAGTATGAGAAAAGCTACAACGAACTCGCCGCAGACTCTCAGCAGCGGGCCGCTCAGATGAGACACCAGGAGAACAGACTGAATCGTGTGCTAGAGCAGCGAGATCATCTTCGGGCTGAGACCAGCAAAATGCGGGCTGAGCTTGAAAGTTCTAGGATCAAACAGTCCGAATTACAGGAGCATGTAATCAGGGCTGAGGCCGAAATCGAAAAGGAGGCGGGCCGAAACCGGAAACATCGTGAACAGGCCAGCAAACAAACAGAGCTCGAGCTAATAGCTCTGAAGAAGGAACAGAAAGTGACCATCGACGGGCTGAAGGCGCAGCTAGAAGCGAAGCGAGACGCCTACGAGAACGAGAAAAGGGCCTTGAAGGACTTGCAGGTCGACTTTACAACGCTCAAAGAACATTTGTCCGGGGCAGAAGCGAAGGCCAAAGGCTTGGACAACCAGCTGACCGAGATCAAGCAGAGCAACGACCGCTTTCAGAAAATTGAAGCAATTATGGCCAAGATCTTCACGGGTATTGAGAATTTGGCTGAGAAGTCCGACAAGGCCGACGTGGTGCCACCTCAGATCGTGAAAAAGTGAGCGCGTGGTATTGCAAGACATTCCCCCCCGTAACTGACGATTGCAGGCTTGATGAAATAGCGGGATTTGCGCAGCGTGCGTCACGAGAGGACAACGATGGGACCAGAAAGGTCCTAGATGCCTTCCAAGAACAGCTGACATCCAAGTAAGTGTTACATTTAGTCCCTTGAGACGCTTGACTAACGATTTCTCAGGATTGGTGAAAAAATAGTTGATATGACGAAGGGGCAAGATATCATTCAGGGCAAAATGCAAAGCTTGGAGGAATGCTTGAAGAGTCAGTCGAGCCTTGCCGAGGCCGAACAAAAGAGACAACAGGAACAACAGCAGCAGCAAATCACCGAGAAGAGCGCCGAGAACGCGAGGCTTGCACATAATCTCGATACCAAGGACAAACAGGTTACCGAGCTGACGAAGGCTGTCTCCGAGATGGGCCAGAGGCTGCAGAGATTTGAAGAGGCTCTGGACTCAGTCGCGCAAGGAGCTGCCTCGGAAACAGAACTTCAGGCAGCCCAGCAGAGTCTGAACACCAGCGAGACTCGAGTCAATCAACTGAGAGCAGAACTCCAATCCCAGCGCGCGACCTACGAGTCTGAGAAGACGGACCTTGAGAAGCAGCTGGAAAAGGCCAAGGACGATTTGAAAAAGACCGAAGACCTTCTCAAGAGCTCAGCGGAGAAGACGGCTTCTGTAGAGCGCGAATTCAATGCAGCATCGGACGAAAAGCAACGCAAGTTGGAGGAGACGGTGAAAAAGGAACAACAAGCTCACCAGGAGCTGAAGCAAAAGCATGACGAGCTGTTCGCCGAACAGGCTCGTCTCCAGGAGGAAAGCGCAGAGACCTCCAAGCGTGAAAAGGAAAAGTTTGAAAAGGCTGAAAAGGACCTCAAAGTTGCCGAACAGAGGATCACCAACCTTACCATGAAGATCCGCGAGACCCAAACAACATCAACTACTGCGAACCCGAACGACCTTACATCCCAACAATTGGAAGATCAGCTAAAGATGGTCAGAGAGTGCCACAGACTGATGGAAGACATGCAAGCCGGCGGGAAGGATCTCTCCAGAGGAAAGTCTGGTGCCCCTGAACCTAGCAACAGTCTGCGCGATGAGAAGCAACACAGTCATGCTTCGAGTGAGCAGCAGCACTCTGGGGCCTCAGGCAATGCAGACGCCGGCAGTAATAACGAGGAACCCGAGCTTCCCGAGGTGCCATGCACAGATCCAATTAACTGGAAGGACATTCTCAAAATCAGCTCAAGCTCGTCGGATGGTATTTTGGAGGAAGACAGCCAGCAAAAGAGTGGAGACACCTTGGAGGAGGACCTTCAACGAAAGAGGATATTGATGAAGAGTCCCGTTGAGGCAGCAGACACCGAATTAGCGGCGCCTTCGGTTTCCCAAGAAAGAGCGCAGCGACACAACTCAACAAGCCAGGGGTCTCAACCCAGAAGCATTCTTCGACCAGGCTCGAGCTATACGCCAACGGCAGCATCTACAGATACTGCTGAGTCGGCCCGGGAACGTGCTCTCTCTACTCACTCTGGCCACACTGAGTATAACCGGCCAGTCGGAAGTCGAGATACGATCTCATACGCCCAGTTCAGTTCCTTTAGTAGCCGCAAGCTGCCGAGACCGCAGCTTCTTGATTTCCGGATAGAGCACAAAGGCAACAAGCGAGTTCGAACCGAGCCGCCACAGGACCGACAAATCAAGAAAATCAAGCACGTCAGTGACCCCAGGGATCGCGATGACGTTTTCACTGATCGCTTGGAGAACGCCGGACAGCCTACTGGAAGCTTAGCTTTGGAGCGAAGCACCAGGGCCAGCACTGAAGCCCTGTCGAACGAGTCGCAGGACAATTATTCCATGTCGCGCCATTTCCAAAAGGGCACATCGGCGAAGAATGACCATCAACCGCAGTCTAGACCACCACTTGCGGACAAGACTCCTCAGTCGTCCCAAAACGGCCCGTCTTCAACTGGACGTCGCAACATTACCCGAACTTATTCCAAACTTCCTGTCAAGACTTAGAAACCGCTGCGACGGCGGTGAAATTTTGAACCACATTGATATGCAACTTGCGGCGGCGCTATTGTTTTTGGAGGTCAAGCACAGATCGAGAAAGCGAACTCAGTTTGGTGGGATTTGTGGAAGACCTTTTTGGTGGCTTTTGGTAGAATATGCACTTAGATCGTGGCAGTCGAAGCCCATGCCATCATAAGTCTTTGCGTTTCGGTATCCCGTGCCACTTCCTAACCTCCTCGATGCTCTGTAAAGGGTGCAATCCGATGGCGCATTGCGTGGCCGTGTCATGACATCCTCAAAAACCAATTGCATACCGCCGTGAACGCCATTTGTGATGTTATCAGTGTTGGTACAGGTAGAATCGACTCAGGCAAGCGGATAGCTCATTTGCCCTTTTTCTTTGCTTCCAAGAACAGCACCTTCCGACGGACTGTGGAAGTGTTAGCTCGGCATTCCATTCAAAGTATTGTATCTTGCTCTGGCGCCAGGCGAGAAAGCGCGCATAACAGCTCGTGGGTAAGTCGTACCGATCGGATCGTATTTCAGCATGCTCATGGGTGAAGCCGTTCTGGGCCGCCTGAAGGTGTAGAAGAACCCGGTCGCGGCCATGGACACGAGCCGGACGATCGCGATACGAGACTTCGCTGTCGAGATGTTAGCGATTCTGACCTTTAATCCTGGAGGCTCGCACGGGAAAACACACTCTTCTTCGCCATCTTGGGGGTTGTGGCGGGGGATGGACGCTTGAAGCTTGCTGGCGACCAAGGTGGACGTGGATTGACCGTGGAGACGGGAATTTTGCGGTGGTGAGAGCTTTCGGTGCAAATAGGGCCGTTCACCGAGATTTAGTGGGTTGAGCTTCGGTGAGAGCTCGGTCTGCTCAAATTGAAGTCGCTCTCGCCCCAGCTGGAACCAACTGGGGCCATCCGGCCCGATTGCGGGTGAAGTCTACATCAATGTCTCAACTAATTATATCTCTCTGTCGACAAATATTGGTACCTTCCTGTGGATGATTGACTTTGTGACACGATGCGAATCAAGTGACCTTTCTCAGAGGAGCCAAGCAAAGAGGGGTGAGACGCGGCATCAGAATGACGACTTGACGGGGTGCGAAGATGCGGCGGGACACTGCGCCAAACATCACGGCCGAATTCACCAGTCGCCGAAGCACGTTTGAGTCTGGAATCCGAGTAACGGAGGCAGGTGGGCGGTGGACCTTCAGGGTCTCTGCAGATGTCGATGGAGCCTTTCCATCAATAGCTCACCCGGGACCTGGAACTTTTGGCAGAGCTTGCAGGGTCCTAGCATCGAAGGGGCCGTCGCCCGCCGCACCGGTGTGTTCGGACGGCGGTATCCTCATAGAGGCATCCGTAAAGACCTCCAATGTGTGAGCTCGCTTTCAACGTTGGGTCCAAGCCGGGTTGATGACGCCCTTGGAGTGCTTTCTCGCGTATATTCCTGCAGGATACACATCCATCCGCTGAACCTACGTCTATCTGACAACCAATAACCACGTTCACATTTGGGCTTATTCTGTAGCTCGCGTGGCTCGGTGCGGTGAGCAAGAGTGAGCGTGTGTGTTCAGGCCGTGCGTTTTGGCAGTGTTTGCGCGACCTTCCCTGCATGCGGCCACACACCCCCAGCTTTCCATTCGGAGTCAAGCCCGCAGGTAAGGGCGGTTTATCGCGAGGACCCCCGACTGGGCCGGCGGGCAGGTCGGCGACCCAGCCCAGCAAAACCAGTGTGCCAGGAAGGTAGGTTTATCTCGCAGATGTCTGGACCTGCTGGTGGTGTCTCTCAACGAAGGTAAGGTACCGGGGAGGAGCAGGAGGAGTAAGGGCAGGTAAAGTAGGTGTGGTGGGAAATGGGTGAGCGACTATGGGCAAATAAAGGGCAACAGATGTCCATCCTATCTTGCCTGCTTCCAGTGTTAGGATACACAATCTCCGTTTTTTGACTTTTTCTTTTTCCATGCTTTCTTCTTTGTAGACCACGCGCGGGGGAATCAGGTATTTGGCCGTCTCAGCCGCAGCGAACGAACGCAGTTTCCCCGCGAATATTCTTTATTCATTAGACTTTTGCCAGTCGCCTTATTTCGACTTCAAGCGTGTTCCGAACGATTGCAAACGGCTATATACCAACCGCGATATCGAGGGTCGACATTCCAGCAGGAGAGAGCTCAGAAGGCGCTTCCGAAAGCGATTATCACGATGAGCTCGACTGTGGCGGCGCGCCGGGTGGCTGGCGGCACAGCAAGGTCGCTGGGAGCGCCAGGGAAGCAGGTCGTTGCGGCGGCGAGCCAAGTCAGACTGATGAGCAGTCACAGATCAAACGGTACGTTGCAATGTGATTGAAGCTGAAGTTGAAGCTCTCCGCATTTTTCTTTCTTTCTGTCCATTCCTGTTTGTCGATCTGCTTCATCTTTTTATATTTGTTTCCTCCGAGTCCCAACCCTGGGCTGCCCGCTGCTACTGGTGGTGCATGGTTGGCCAGTGCAAAGAGCTTGCAGCTCGCGCAGCTTCGGGAGAAGCCAGGCGGCGGAAACCTTAGCAAGAGAGACTGGACGGGAGCTTCAGCTCGGGGCTCTCCAGCGCGGCTTCCCCCGAGCTGAAGGAGTTGCACCCCGTTTTTTTCTGTCTTTTTGGACGCCATCTGCAAACCCTCCCTTCACTGCTCAAACAATGCATTCTTGATCAACGATCAGTCCCGATCCAAGTCCATGGACCCCACGTGGAACCCCACATCTCCCTCTTTCCCGGCCACTGGTTGCCTGCCGTCTTGAAATGCCCTCGCGGAAGCCGCTAGGACTTTCAGTCAAGACTGAAGACCCAGGCCCGGCTGGCCCCTGGTCATACCGACCACCGGTTTCGGACACAGGCCGACACAGGCCTTTGAGGCAACCCAAGCCCAAAGGCGAGGCAAGCAAAACCAACCCGTACCAAACCACTGCCGGGTCTGATCCACGTCTTCGTCTGCCGTCGGGAACGCGCGACTAGCCAGCAAGTGCTGGCGCTGCCGGGAATGGCCAAGGAGGGGCAAACACTCCCACACACTCGAAGAGTCACGACTACCAAGGGGGCCGTCAGAGGTCCAACTCAACCCGCCGCCGTCCGGTCCTTTCCATGATGCAGGGCTGTGTCTCGTGGCCCAGTGTGACAGTTCCCAATAGGAAGCCCGACTAGCTTGCCCATGGCTCACCCTGAAGACATTGAATAAGAGCAATGTCTTGCATCGGACGATGACGGGAGGGAGGTGCGCTGATTCTGGGCCATTTTGCCTTGTCTCTTCCTTCTGCCCGTTTAATCCATCAATAACACAGAAGAGAACCGTCCATCGGGTGTCCATCCGGTGTAGTAGGTAGCTCCCCCGCGTCCAAGCTCGGTGTCGGGGGTCATTGCTTGCCTCCCCCCTCGCTGAAGAACAGGAGGAGGACAATAAAAAGCTATTAGTGTGGCTGCATACCTACTTTCTTAAAGATCTCCTTCAAAATTTGGTCTATTTGTACTTCACATCCGCACATCGTCTCTCTACCTCTGCTCCGCTTATTGCCGGGTTGTAGCCAAAAGGTGTTTTTCCTCTCGCTATCAAATCTCCACAGTTACCGTGGTAGAAGCCCTTTATCTAACTTTTATATGACTCTAACATAGATACCCCGCGGTCCCCTAAGATCTTCCTCTCCAATACCCCGCCATCCCGAGCGCAACTTTTCTCGAGCAGCAGAAACATTCGTTCGTCACCCCACCATCGAACCATGTCTTCCACGCCCACTCGTCGGTTGAACGCCGACAACATCAACCAGCATGTTGTCGCCGCAAAGTACGCCGTCCGTGGCGAGCTCGCCGTGAAGTCGGAGGAGTACCGCGCGAAGCTGGCCAAGGGCGACAAGGACCTGCCCTTTGACGCTGTCATCTCGGCCAACATCGGCAACCCCCAGCAGCTCGACCAGAAGCCCATCACCTTCTTCCGCCAGGTCGTCTCCCTCCTCGAGAACCCTCTGCTGCTCGAGCACGAGGATGTCCTGCTGAACCAGCTCGGATACAAGTCCGACGTCATCACCCGCGCCAAATGGCTCCTCAGCAAGGTCGGCTCCGTCGGCGCCTACAGCGCCAGCGCTGGTGTCCCCGCGATCAAGGAGAGCATTGCTCAGTTTATTGAGCGTGAGTTTTGTGACAGTGCAGTGCTTGCTGTGCCGTAGACATGATAACTGACAAAGATTTCCCCTGCAGGCCGCGACGGGTTCCCCGCCGATCCCGCCCACCTCTACCTCTCCGGCGGTGCCTCCTCCGGCGTTAACACCCTTCTGCACATCATCTGCTCCGGCCCGACAACCGGTGTCCTCGTCCCCATTCCCCAGTACCCTCTCTACACTGCCACCCTCTCCGTCTTGAACGCCACCTGCGTGCCTTACTACCTCGACGAGGCTTCCGGCTGGGGTACCGACGTCGCCACCATCAAGGCCGCCTACGAGAAGGCCACAAGCGAGGGCACCGATGTCCGCGCGATCGTCATCATCAACCCGGGCAACCCCACCGGCGCGTCGCTCTCCGAGGAGGATATCCGCGCCGTCTACGACTTCGCCGCCGAGAAGAATCTCGTCGTCATGGCCGACGAGGTCTACCAGACCAACGTCTTCGTCGGCAAGTTCCACTCCTTCAAGTCCGTCCTGCGCAGGCTGCAGAAGGAGACCCCCGGCAAATACGACGGCGTCGAGCTCGCCTCCCTTCACTCCATCTCCAAGGGCATGGTCGGCGAGTGCGGCCACCGCGGCGGCTACTTCGAGCTCGTCAACTTCGACCCCGAGGTCGAGGCCAACATCTACAAGTTCGTCTCCATCACCCTCTGTGCCCCCGTCATCGGCCAGTGCATCGTCGAGCTCATGGTCAACCCTCCCAAGGAGGGCGAGCCCAGCTACGAGCTGTACCGCCAGGAGTACGACGGCATCTTCAACGGCCTCAAGGAGCGCGCCACCGCGCTGCACAAGGCCTTTGACCAGATGGAGGGCGTCG